ATCATCTAAACCACTAGTTAAATCTCGTTATTAGAACTAACTGCAATTACATCAGCAGGCCAATTTTCAAATGAATTTCTGAGTGATTTTCTCCGGGGATCATCTATGTACTAAAAGTCCGTGGGGAACTCCCATATAAAATAGTCGGGGACGCTCGTGGGAAAATTTGAATTAAACCCCTAAACGGGACCATGTGGGTGTGGCTTGAGCTTTATTTGACCCCCTAAGACGCCGCTAAAACGGAATTAACACAGTTTTTTTTTATTATTTCTTCCAGTGCACCCTAAAAGATACTTTCACGTCTAAAAATCCCCTGGGACTGAAAGTGGCACGAGAATTACATTTGTAGATCAGTACCGCCTAAGCTGTTCCGTTAAATTAAATGATCAACGGTAGAACTATCCTGGACAAAAATTGCACGGTTCACCTGCTCACTTTAGAATTGTTTTTTTTCTCTATTGATATTTTTGTTAAGTTGGAAATGAATCCGAGCCACACCCATCAAACGAGATTCTGATGTCTTTAAAAGATTCGTTGCATAAATTTCTACGATAACTTTTATATGAGAGTCTCCCACCCAGCCCCCGGAAGAGGGATTATTTTACTCCCTCGAAGGGTCTTGGCCATCTTGAGCACTTTCCCGCCCCTTTTTATTGGCGTTCATTGTAGCAGCAGTCTCTTCCTCGGTCCTCGTGTCTCCAACGTGCAGGCTGCCATCTGGATTATTTTTAACACGAACGCTCTTGTACTGTTCCCTCAAGGCGCTAAGTGCTGCTGCTGTCTCGGCGTCGGACTTCTTAGTAGCTTCTCTGTTGGCTTCCTCGTGTGCTGCAAGATTTCCCCCTTTTACATTTTTCTCCCGCATCTTTTGATAGCTCTTTACAAACTCTATTGCTGCCTTCGCCGTCTCCACTGGTTTGTCTAACGTCTTTTTAGCGAGAGTACCAAGACCTTCCAATAGGATGAAAAGCAAATAAATCGAGTTTGAGTAACAGTCCAAGACGCTTGTTTTGCGCGCGGATCGAGCGAGGGTCTTCACGCTTCGCTCGCGCCCCGAAACCTCGCCAATGGTACAATTCAACAGTAAGCGCTCATATGAACCTATTTTTAAATACCTGTTCTGTGGCCGGTTTCATCTCTATCACGAATACCGGTTTTTCCAACATGTACTGTTTTGCCTTTAGCTTTGATAGTTTTTCCTCTGAAAGCAAATAAAGAAGGAAATAATTAGTGAATTTATAAACATTTAACCTGGCACATTCTAGGAAATAATTTTCTTCGTCGCGGTAACGGCGGATTTCACTGAGTCGCTAATCAACCCCGGCTGATCAGGTTTAAAATCCTTTCTGCGCTATTATTGTGGAACCATGGCCATGGTATTTCCATGGTATTTCTTCGAAATAGGCAACACTTATTTCTTCTGTAAGACATCGGCTCTTACGAGTGCAAACTATGCCGCTGACATTAATTATTATGGCGTAATTTTATTTTTATTTATTTTTTTGCTATATGATATTCAATGCATTAAGCAAAATAAAATGGTTGTTGTTGTGTTGTTGTTGTTGGTAATTTCTCTCAGCTTGGAGTTAATGTTGGGACCAAAGCTAACACAAAATCTCTTCGTAACAAATTTTGACTCCATGTTACTTAAAAAATCCAAATACCTGTTAAATTAAGACAGTGCGTAGGGAAAACTTCATAGCTTTTAAATATTAATTTTAGGAATTATTGTTATTGTTATTATTGTAATAGTTGTCACTACAGCCGTTCGGCGAAGATTGTATGTGTTTTTGTCTGTCTCTAAACGTGTGTTACTAAAATTTCTTCCTGTGGTTATTTTTTTTGCTTTTCCATTTCTTGCTTTCACGGAAACGTTTGTTTGCGCTTCAACTGTGACCTCTTTCAGCAACCGATTTTTTAAATTTTTTCATTTTATTGCAAACAATTCGTTCAAGTGAGATTTACGCCATGTTAGAGTAATGCAGTGATTCTGGTGATTCCCTTACTTATTTGCGGTCTTGTCAGAAGTTCTGAAAACATTGGAGAATTAGTGGTGATGATCTTACTAAAATATTAAAAAAAAATAAACGTAAAATCCCTTTATATGAAACGCGTAATATCCTGAAAACATATAGCTACAGCGTGGACGCAAAGAACAGTCTTTAGAAATATAAGAATGTCCCTCCAGAATCTGCCAATTTCGAGCACTTTTTTAACGGCCTGTATACTCTCAAACAGGAAGAACGGTACATGTATTTCATCTTACCGCTCAGTTTTCGTGGAGCTATATTCAGAACTGGACCGCGAACCACTTTTTGAGCTGGAATTTCGAGAACTTCCCCACCATCCTTCGCATTGTCCAAGGACATCCACTGTTAGGATGACTGCAAGAATCACGAGAGCTAGTGTGAACAGTTTCATCTCTGTTCGCTCGCTGTGGACTGATATCGATGTGGTTCCAAGCCAAACCGAACCTGGTCGTGTTAACACTGAATACTCCGGCTGCTCAGTTTTATGGGGTAAGACAGTCGTTAGGAAATTTCAAAAATGATCCCGGTTTTAGCAAATACCGGACGTAAAATCATCTTTGTCTAAGCGGTTTTGAGACACTTCCTCATTGGAAGTCTGACAGGATCTGAAGGGAACTGAAATGCTATTTGACTTCCCCTCCACATTCTGCACAAACATGTGTGGTATACTGGATCATATAAACTAGTCTACAATTCTTGATACACAAGAAAAAATAATGGATGCCAAAGCAACAAGTTTCAGACCTTGGCGACTACGGGTGACTGGAATTCAAAACACATGATAATCGAACAGTGTTGAAAATATTTGAACCTATAAATAGCAGATTGGATATCACTGACACACTTCAGCACGCCAGTATTTCAGTTCGACCGTACGAAGGAAGGTGAAACGCTCGCGAGGATATACGAATAGATGTGATCATTTTTACCTTGCCGGTCGTGAGCGTTGTTGTTTAATAAATAGAGAGTTAAAAGGGACACAACTAAAGCGATTTTACTTCGTTTTTTGTCACAGAATTGCTAACATTATGACTGAGTACCTTCACTGGTACACCAAATGTTCCTAGAACACGAGGAATTAATAAAGAAAGAACAAAGTTTGATTGGTTTAAAGCGATCTTTTTCTACGTCATGACGACAAAATTTCGAAAGGTCTGCCAGGCTTTTTCAATTTGACATCACATTCTTGTGTATGCGAAACGGCTCTTGTCTCACTATTTTTAATGCTTTAATACACTTACTGACTTATACAAAACAAGACCATTATAGTAAGGTTCCTATTGATGAAAATATGTCTTTTGGGTTTTGATTTCTTCGAAGTCCTGCTGATTATAGCACACGAGCTTAATTATCATGAGTACGACAATGGTTTTGCACGTGCGGTGTAAATCTTTGTTCACTTCGCAGCCCTCCAGTTTGCAAAACAACAACGTGAAATGTGCAAATTCTGCGCATTTTGGACAATGTGTATTTCCACGTGGGATTGAACGCTGACCTTGCACGCAAG